TGCTGCCTTATTATACTCACGCTGTGATCAGCGGCAGCTGGATGCAATAATCGCATGCCAACGTGCATTGGCTCATTTAGTTTACACTCCAAGTGGATTGGTCTCTCTAAACGAGATCCCAATTCGTCAGTCATCCGACGTGACATCGAGAGCGACCGACTGAAAGGGAACTTGGTATTACAAGCACTTCCTGTGTCTGTTTGCCTCTTTAAGAAGAATCGTTTTATGTATTCCCCAATTGTAAGTCGCTTTGGATAAAAGCGTCTGCAAAATGACAATGTAAAGTCTAAATGTAGATCGTAAATCGCGCAGCGCACACACAGAAGCATTGTGGTGCACAAACGTTTATTAATAAAATAGCTCCTACACTGCACAGACACAGGTAATTCACACACGCAACTTTCACCCCTCTCTCTCGCATGCACTAATTATTTCAAATAAATTATACGTTTTATGTTTTCCCCAAGCGTCTGCAAAATGACTAAATGTAAAGTCTAAATGTAGATATTGTAAATCGCGCAGCGCACACACAGAAACATTGTGGCGCACATAAACTTTTATAAATTGCTTCTCTCCCGAGTGAGTTCTCATGTGATTTTGAAGGGCTGGTTTTTGAGTGAAGCTCTTTCCACACTGTTGGCAGGTGTAAGGCTTCTCTTCAGTGTGAACTCTCACGTGCATTTGAAGTTTTCGTTTTTCATCGAAACTCCTTCCACAATGAAGGCAGGTGAAAGAGCTGTTAGATTTGGTTTTCTGAGCTCTTTTTCGTATAAAAGCTGTTTTAGACTGTGTGGCATTTTCACCAGTTATGAAATCATGGTGATTCTCATACTGATCTGTCTGTTCCATTTCATTCGGATCTTGATTCTCCTCTTTCAGCACCAGCAGGTCTAAAGCAAAAAAAGATAAATACAAGTTAACCACAGTTTAAAGCCACAAAGCAAGAGATATGAAAAGCAACATGAAAGCATTTAAGGCCGGGACACACCAAGCCGACTTCAAACAACTAGCGGCCACAAAAGCCGATGGTGTTGTCTCCTTGCGTCGGCAGCATCTGGACCAAAATGCTGCGATTGAACAAACCATACAGACCACAGCCAACTACAAACTAACACGTGCATTCTGGCGAGAACAATTAGCTGTCTATATCAGCAGCTATCAATAGTATGTATTCGTCATTCAAAAGGAGAAACCAAAACAGGGATATACCAGATATACGACACGTAAATAAAGCGGCACTTGCTTACCATTTTGAATATCAGTTATGTCGATAACTTTATTCATTTTTAGCCGCTCATGTTGTTATGAATATATTCACATACTTGGGTAAGATCACGTAAAGAGAGAGATGCGCAGACGCAGGTAATTCACACACGCAACTTTCATTCCTCTTTCTCGCATGCACTAATTATTTCAAATAAATGATATAATTAATTCATTCAAATAAATGTGATCTTACCGCAGTACTTCCCCTCTATGTCTGATTTAAAGCAAGCAGAATGCTAACGAGCCATAACTGATGAAAATTACAGTTATTATATTAAAATCTTTTAAGGCACATGCTAGCTGTGGATTATCACTTACATTTAATGTGTGCATGTCGTTTCTTGTTATATATTACAGACTAAATTTAAAATGAAACTTGTTTTGCCCTTGTACCTGATATAGCGATCTGTCACAACATGGCAAATAGCATGCACACATAAGCTGGTTGTGAGCAATAGGGCCTTTCGCACCGCGGGAACCTTTTCATAGTACCAGAACTAATTGTGGAACTACCCACTTTTTGGCATTTTCGCACCGCCGGAACTGGGTGCGATTTTAGTACCGGACTGCCTTTTTCGAGAACCAAATTAGCTCCTACTCCGGAGCAGGGTCTAACCAGCACAACTGGTACTAATCGTGACGTAAGTAGACATTGATTGGCCAAACGCATACGAAAACGAAAACTTATTTCGCAAGTATGGAGAACAGCGATAGATGGACGGACGCTGAAGTGCAGGCAAGTGCATGCGCGGTCCTAAGCGCACGTCTCAAGAGCGCTGACTGTTTCTATAGCAACCGGGGTTCTAACGGCAGCTGCAGTGATGCGCTGACTTTACCGAATAGCGATTGGCTCTTTTCTTCCGGAGGCGTGGCTTCCTTCGATAGAATGCTGTTTAGAGCGCTGTATTTGTCCCCATTCAAAACTATACAAGTGACACGTAGTCTTTGGTATCAGTGCATCCCGAATAGAAATGAATGGTTTTTGTTCTTCAGTTAAGCAGATATATGGTTTAACGTTACTCAAACTACTGGTTTTGTTTAGGCTCCTTCTGTTAGTTCTCTGAGTTCTGTTATTTCTCCTGATTTACTGGGTGACGTCACAATAACAGACGTCCAGCACTGAAGTGGGCTCTTCCTCAGGTGCACTTAGTATTAGTCTGGTCACGTGATCTCAACATCTGTCCACCTGAGGCTCCGTGTCAAATAAAACCACTTTAATGAGGACACTTCACAAACACCATTCATTTCTGCAGAGCTGGACATTTCCAAACGAGCGAGCTGAGCTTTGAGAGCGAAACCAACCTGTTTGTTCCTCAGTGTCTTCTTGTTTCAGACTGAACACTTCTTCAATCCTGAAGTCTTCAGTCTCCTCTTTAATAAACGCCATCTTTATAAGTGTGTGACGAGGCTCTCAGTCGCTTCAGCGGGAGTTTCTCTGTTTAAGATGAAGAGAACAATGAACAGAGAGCACAATAAACCCTCTAAACTACATCTCTCCATCAGCTCCCTAGTTCAGGAGTCAGCACACTAGTAAGGGAGCGAGAGTTAATCACCTGATGAGACAAAAACACTCAAAACTAGCGCTGCAAATTCATAAAAGAGCACAAGTTATATATATTATATTTTTATTGTAGTAAAAGTGTGGTAGCCGTGGTTTTTTGGCGTATTGATTACCATCTGTATAACCAGTTTTACTACAAATACCATGTTAAATTACGGTTACCATGGTTTAACTGCAGTAACCCTGGTTTTATTTGTAGTAATCGTGGCTAATTTTCGTAACGGTCCACATGTTTGTGTTTGTTGTTCTCGCTG